CTCATTTTGAGGCAAAATTTCGAGGGATTTTCATAGAGAACTTTGGAGTTAGGAATTCTAACTCGTTTTTGATTAATTCACATGAATCTATTGATAATTTCATCATTTAATTGGTGCTTTGGAGTTAGAAATTGGGAAAAATTGGTAGAAACTCCTTAGGCTAAATTATTGAGTTTTGAAAGGCGAAATGAGGTCCGACTTGAATAATTCTTATATGGTTGGACTCGATATCGAATGGATGTTCGATTTTTATAGTTTTAGTCGATTTCGAGATGCGGGCTCGGGGTGACGTTTTGGGTCGATTTTTTAATTCTTTGCAAAGATCATAATTTCATTGTTTGAATGAGTTTCCTATAGTTATATTTATAGTATGAAATTGTTTTGGCTAGATTCGAGCCGTTCGGAGTTGGAAAATCGAGAGAAAGACCTTCTAGTTGATAGATTTAGCGTGGTTTTAGGTAAGTGACTTGTTTAACCTTGTGTGGGGGAAATTTTCCTTAGGATTTGGTATTGTTGTGATAATTGTGATATATGAAAGCCGTGTACACAAGGTGATGAGTGCGTACACGGGCTAAATGTGAAATTTCTGATTTTCAGCTATGTAGTTTCCTTTCATGCTTTAATTGAGTTGCTTTAACATGTTGTAGTCATCATATTTAGTCTAATTTCACATGTTTACTTGTTTTATCTCTTATTTGCAAATTGTCCTATATGTTTAGTTGAATTACTTGCTTTCTTTTATTCCGTATTTATTATTTAACTGTTGAATCCTTACTTGAAATTTCTATTCTTGGAATATCTTATCGTTGAATTTGGTATTGAGTTGCAAAGGCCGTGGTTTCTATTAAGGCAAAGTGTAAGTTGTGAAATATCATTTTATTGAGTTACTCTCCGGTTATTATTGTTGAGACTTTGTGTACATTGTGGTTGAGTCGTGGGCTCCTTATTGTGAAATCATATTATTGTTGGCTTTTCTAGTAAGTTGTGATATTGGGCACTTGAATTGCGAATTGTGATACGTTGTGATATTGATAAACATGCGGTGATATAAGGTCTGGGTTTTGAAATGCATGAGGTGAGATAAGGTGGGCTTAATACGCGAGGCTAGTAGGGGAACTACTAGAAGTCATGCGGTGTGATAAGCTGGGCTAAAACGCGGAGTACTATTTCGGAAAAAATAATTTTCAAAACTAAATGTAAAGGCTCCCGCGGTGATATAAGAAAGACTTTGAGTTACTTTTATGATTTGGGACTACGAGGCGGTATCTCGGTAGTGTCCCTTGTTGATTTTTCTCTATTTGCTGTACTTGTCTTGGTTGTTTGTTTTCTTAACATGTAAATCCTTGTTTCCTTCCATGTTGTATTAACTGTCTTGATTCCGTGTTGTTAACTTTCCGTAAATTCCTTATTGTTTCATTTCCATTGTCATTATCATTATATCGTTGTATCTTTCGTCTTGTTTCTTATTATCTCTACTAAGTTCTTGACTTGACCTCGTCACTACTCTACCGAGGTTAGGCTTGGCACTTACTGGGTACTGTTGTGGTATACTCATACTACACTTCTACACATCATTTTGTGCAGATCCAGGTACTTCCTATTAGTCCCGGCATTAGTGAGCTGAGGTTGCTTTGGAGATTTCAAGGTACACATGCTCGCGTCCGCAGGCCTCGAAGTCCCCTTCTATCCTGTTTTTCCTTATTTCATTACACTATCTTAGAAAGTGACATATAAGATTGTTCAGTAATATCACTAGAGGTTGTGACTTATACTTCACCGGGTTTTGGGAGTTCTACATATTGAGTTACAGATTTCGTTTATGATTGCTGAAGTTTTGAGATTTTAAGTTGTTATTTCAGTTATTCCGCATGTTGATAAGCTTACCTAGTTTTAGAGACTAGGTGATATCACGACTTCCTACGGAGGGAATTTTTGATCGTGACAACATTGTAGCACCACCCAATCTATCGAACAAGTCTGCCATTAGCGGAATAGGGTACTTGTTCTTCATGGTGATTTTGTTTAGGGCACGATAATCAACACAAAGCCGTAGGGTGCCATCATGTTTCTTTTGGAATAGCATCGGGGACCCATAAGGGGACTTGAAAGGCACAATGATTCCCGCGTATATCATTTCCTTCAACTATATTCGAAGCTCGGTGAGCTCGGGTTGTGACATTCTATAAGGCGCCCGAGCGGGTGGCTTCGCACACGGCACCAACTCAATCTCATGGTCCACAATGCGCCTAGGCGGGAGTCGCTTTGGCATGACGTCTTCAAACTCCAGTAGAAGCTCCTTTACGGGTGCAGGAATGGGACCCGAGGAACGTTCTATATCTTCAATACAGAGGGTAGCCATGAACATAGGTTCATGTCTTTTGACTCCCTTCTTCAAGGCCAATATGTTCTCCGCGGCCATCTTTATGGTTGTGCAGGGAATAATACAGGGCTTGGTCCCATTTGCTCCCATCATCAGTAGCATGTCGGCATAAGGTACTGGAACGGTGTTGGTTTGCCTTATGAATTCCGACCCAACTATCAGCTCGAAGTCATCTATGATCACCACGCGCAAGTTGACTTTTCCTTCATAAGGACCAAGTATCACTGGTACTCCTTTGGCTACTCCACCCACCGGCTGAGGCTGTGAGTTAATAGCCTTGACACGACCTCTGCCCTTTCCCAAAACTAGATCAAGGCGTTCTACCTAAGTTGAGGCTAAGCAGTTGTGAGTAGCGCCCGTGTCTATCATCGTCCGAATTGGCTTGCCATTAACTTTCATCTCGACGAACATCAAGGTCTTCCATTGTTTAAGAGAAGGCCCCTCATCCATCTTCTTTTTCCCTTTCTTGGTAGTGGGGCATGGGTCCTTGTTCTTGTGGATACCAGTACTTGTTCCCGCTAAGGCTTCAGAAATAGAACAAACAAATGCGTTGAAGGCACCTATTGGTTCGGTCTGGTCAGCATTATCTGTGTCATCATCGGTCCATCATCAGAAGTTTGATGGGCGTTCATCTGTGCATGTGGGCATTCATTGTTCCAATGTGGCCTGCCGCAATGACGGCATCCTGAAAGGGGCTCCCTTCCCCGATCGTTGTTGTTAGATGCAGCACTATTACTGCCTGAGGAAGGAGCCTTAGATTTGGTTGCACTCCGATCTCCTCCACTTCTACTAGGGCCACCATTGCCGGGCTGGCCCCATTTGTATCCTCCTCGGACAGGCGGCTGAGGCCTATCCTTCCGAGCTTCCACTTGATAGTCCCCAAGGCATTCCGCTGCTTGGATCGCCTTGGGTAAAATATCTACTCTTTGTCTTTGCAGCTCCATGCGGGCATAAGGTTTCAAACCTTCCAGGAATGTAAAGAGTTTGTCTTTGTCCCCCATATCCTGTATGTTCGGCATGAGTGACTGATGTAATCCCCAGAGTCGCGATGATGTTCGCAATGTCACCTTCGGCCTGCCGCATCCTGCAGTCCAGGTCGTCCAACCTTTGCACTAGGTTGATTCTTAAATCAGGCACTGTATTCACGATGGGTCGTAATACGTCAACCGTCTCTTCAAGGGCCGCAATGCGGTCCCCATGATTCACCATGGTCAAAAATGGTGGTAATGGCAATGTATTTTCTCGTCCGATGTCGAGCCTAGGCTCTGATACCAACTGTTACGCGGTGCCTTCCTGAGATTCCTTGGAAGGGTGACGTTAGGCTAAGCAACTGATGTCTGTGTAGTTACTATCCGCCAATTGGGTCCCCTCAGTACGCTAGACGAGATTGTCAGTGTCGTACGGGAAAACCAGTGTCACGAGCAATTGAGATAACAGAAAAGAGAATTGAGAATGGAAGAAAGCTTAATTACATTAATGAAAGCTATTACAGAAGAGTAACACGGTGTCAAGGGGGAGAGACAACAGTATATAGAATTGTTTGCTTGCTTGAACCCCCTAATAGTGCTTAAAAAAAAAATCAAAGTTACAGGACTTGACTAAATAAGCTAGAGAGACATAATGGAAATACATGAAATAAAACTACTCTATATTTACAAAGAAAATGACTTAGATTCCTACAAAGTATAAGCAAGTCCGTTGGCAGCAACCTTGTCTTTAGCATCAGAGTCTGCGCGCGCGGCGCTGTTGGCATCTGCCTGCGGCTGGGCGCTGGCGAGGGCTATCGGTGGGGCGACAAAGGCGCGCTTCTTACTTGGCGCAACTAAAACCACAAGGCCGACCATGGCGCTAGGCGTCGGGAGGCTTGCCAGGACGTCATAGGGTGCGTCCAAGGGGTCATAGGGCATGGTTGGAAAGCCGCCCATGACAGTACAAATGCTAATTTTGTAAAACTTTTTGACGTACTTTGATTGATCTGGAATTTTATAGGTCTATAGGAAACAACCTTATGACCGATACTCGTTGCTTCGCATGCCTTGTGGATTCATTTTTTGTGTTTTGGGGTCATGTAACACAAATTTATGACTATATCTACTTTTTCATGCGTATTATAATACATGTTGAATTTGTAAAAATTTTTTTACGAACTCTTGTTGGCATCGTGTGATTTTTGTATCTAGGTAGGTAGATATTTAGGTAGGTCCCAAAACATTTTTGTTTTCTTTCTTACTATTAGATGACAGTTTAATGTTGTTTTGGTCGTTTTCAATCTTCATCTACCCTGAAGGTTAGCAAGATGGGGTTCTTTTCTTTCTTTTACCTTTTCTTGTTCTTTTTGGTGGAGGGCAAGAGAGGAACTTAAATGATCACAATCTCTTTATTGCAGATGTGTAGTGTATATATAATCAACAATGAATAGAGTACAGTACAGTTTAGGTACATACATGAACAACATAAACTATCTGAGACAATTGAAAATATAGAATTCTACACCTGGTCCAGTGATCGAACAATCGCTGTACAAATATATACTACGGATGCCAAACAACAATAAAGGGTATAACCTTATAATAGCAAATGATCAAATAACAATCAAAGCAAGAATTCAAGAGAAAAGAACTGTTCGTAAATAAAATTTAACAATAGAATCGTAAAATATGTACACAAGGCTTTTATTGATCCGATTGTTTCAATCAATTTAATTACATCAATTGTGCAGATGAACATATTGAGAAATGTCTGATGCAACATGAGAAATCCAATTAGCTGTGGTGCCAAAAAAGAGTTCCCAAAACCAAAGATCCAATGCAAGAACAGAAGAAAAAATTAGCAGGGCTAAAGTCTGATACCGATTTAGAGGCCAGCCCGAAACTTCTGCCATCTGTTTCAAGAAAGGAAGTGAACTGGTTGTTAGGTCGCGGTTCCTTATGGACCAGGCAGTTACCCACTGTACCTGAGAAGGGACAAGGTCAAACTCTTCTCGCAGCCTCCGTCCCAAATCTGGCATGTGCCCACCACCATAAAGGATAGCAATCTTGTTATGACCTTCGTCCATTGCTCTTTGAAGTGCTTCTAATGCAGCTTTGTTTCTCTCTCCGATGATGACAGATTCCGCCTCTACATCAGCTGTGACCTGTGTGAATCTACATGTATAATGGGAAGGGGTAATTACTTTAGTAAATGAAAAGAGGCAGTTGCAAACGCACACTACACAGAAGATCCGATGGAGGAAAAGGTAAACAATATCAGTGTGGGGCAAAACGATAATCTGGCAAGATTATCCTCTCTGTTGATGCAAAAACTTATAGACTGTACGATATGAGCTTGCATTCATGGATAACATCTGCTTTGGAGATAGGGTGTTCCTTAAACAGCCCAATGTTCGTTTTTTCTTTTTTTGTGGTTGGTTTTACTTCATTATTCATACATACTCTTACACTCAATGGATTCAGATAACAACTTCCGTTCGTTTTTCTCTCTAAATTATTTGACCATTCATAGTTGTTATTTCCTATCTAAACTTCATATGAGTAGAATACTAAAATATTATAGAGTGGAGGTGTTTCTTAGCCACAACTTCTTATTCTCAATCAATAAAGCAGAAAACAATAAAATACTCCAGCCTGCTGCAAACCAAAACTAAATTTTGACTGCCAAAAAACTTACTCGGATGTTAGTCGCTTTGCCAGGAAGACCTTTATTGCAGCACCAAAATCAAGTCTGGACAAGGCTTCTAGTTCAGGATATTCAGATGCCGGGCTTTTCACATCCGCACAAACACCTCCAATGATAAGAAGTCCAACAAGAGGCATCGGCAGCACCCGAGAAGCCCATAGAAGTTTGGATCTCCAAGGGCCAAGATCTTCTGGAATTGTAGGTTGCACAAGTGCTTTTGTTGATCTAAGTGTCATATCTCTGGCAAATGTGAAGAAGCTCTCACCTCTTTCAAGCTGAAAAGTACATACAACTTGGTGAAATCTTCGGGTCATGTGAGCAGAGAACACAAAAGGAAGAAAACTTGGCACAGTTAAAAAAAAAGAAACTAGAAATGTTGGTCTGAGGTGCAACCTTATAAATAATATATACATACACACACCAAACATACGTGAACCAAAAATATAATACATAATACAGATAAATCAACTGTCGTTTACTGAACAAAATAAGCAAAGGGAAGTGAGGGAGAGGCAAAAGTGTATGAACATTTTGAATATCAGCAATTCGTTTAACAAGTAATGGCCTTAACAGCAAAGTTATCACATAGACTACCTGGAGTAACTTGAAGGTCTCAAAATCAAGATCTGCATGGTACCAATTCTCACCCTCGTAGTCAAGACAATCTAGCTGGAAATCAAGGGTGAGAAATCTTGCCATCTGCCTTTGGATGAATCCAATAATATTAAATCCCCGTGATCTTGAGCTTTTTAATTTCTTTCTAGAAAGAGAACTAGAACCTCTTCTACTCTCCAAACTTTCTCTGCTGGCTACCATCTCATAGAGAACGCAATCATATGGTTCAAGTTCTTTTTGTAGGGCAGCAAAATACCTGCAAATACAACATTAATCAAAGTCAAACTGTTCAGTCAGACCAACATCAAAAAAGCATGATGCAGAAATAGAGGTTAGTAAGATGTTTCTATCAGGAATACACATCAAGATATCAGATAAAACATTAAGAAAAAAAATTAAATAACCATGACCACGAGACAGAATCAAGATGGAAGCTAGTGCCATATAGGCAATCAGAGTCTGTACAAAAACTGATTCACGGAGATATGGAACTGTTAACTAATTACTGAAAAGATGATTAATTCTATCCTATTCGGCCAAAGTCGATGGCGGCTATCTTTTGATGTGGTTAAGTAATGAACCTTAGGACGGTTCTTCAATTGACAATAATTACCCAATTTCTAACCACAGTTTTCTATGGAAGCAATGAAATGAGAATCTATTAGCTGAAAGAAGTTAAAAGCATGATGCCAATGCAACACAGGAAGTGTAAGTGCCAGTAAAACAACTCTTCAATAAGACAGGAACACACTTGTTCCCACTTTGGGATTTCCACACCAATTAGGAATTTCAGTTGAAGCAGTTAGCAATTCATGATTTGCATAACAAGGAAAGGATGATTTTCAATTTGACAAGAGCGTTCATGAAAAAGCTCTGCCAGAAGAAGACCTGGTTAAATTGGATAGTTGTATTCCACTAATGATGCAGGTAATCAACTGAATATCAAACTACATTTCAGAAAAGATAATAGTACATTCATCAGCGATCGTAGGTAAAAAGGGGACCATAAAATACAAGGTGGAATATGTAGAAATCCACAAAGGAAACTTTAGTACCAACTCAATAAGGAGGACGAAAAGGATGCTACCTGACGCATTGCCAAAGCCAATTCAGTCCTTTTGTCTAGCCCAAGTTAGTTTATAATCTAATTTTAGCTAAACTATATTTTAAGAAGAGGAAATCACACTTCACATTTAAGAGTGGAGGTAATCGTAGTTACAACAACAACAAACCCAGTGTAATCCCACTAGTGGGGGAGGTAATCGTAGTTAAATAGACTTTTTCCTTACCAGAACACACAAAGGGCGACATGTAAGGACTTCAATGTTATGAAAGAGGCCTTGAGCACCCGAGATAGATTGGTAGTCCCCGATGTGAAGCTAAAAGAAGAAACGAGTTCCAAGCAAACCAAGAAGCACTAACTAACTAGCCTTTCAGGAAAAGCTACAGAAGGAGAAAGCATTGGACCTAGAAGGTTAGGTATATACCCAGTAAAAGGAAGTGCAAGTAGAATAAAGAAAGTAGCAAGTGAAGTCATAGGTGGGTCTAAGCGCCTATGACCTCGACCACATGAATTGTGGGGGTGGAAGGAGAAGGTGTAAAGAGTTATTAAATTGAAAACGGAGTACTATCAAAAGGTTATAAAAACAGAAGACAGAGAAGACTTTAAAGAGTATAAGAGAGCTAAACGAGAAGCTTAAAAGGTTGTTAGCAAAGCTCAAGGTAAAGCCCTAGATGGCTTGTGCCAAAAGTTAGGGCTGCATGAAGTGGAGAAAAAATATCTAAACTAGAATGCCTGAAAGAGAAGAAGACCAAAGACTTTATTCTATCTTCATCAAAAAAAAAAAAAGATCAAAAACTTAAACCAAGTTAAATGTATTAAACACAAAAGTATAATGTCTGATATAACCACCAAGGATTATGGTAAGATGGATATGATCCCTCCACCCGTAATCAGAGGAGTTCGAGAAAAGGAAAAAAAAACATGGTAACGCTTCTCGGCTTCCCCCTTTAATGGGCCTAACGCGCGAATCCATATTAATTGAAACTTTAACGGAGATACCGGACACCATGTGGGAAGCCAAAAGAAGATTATGTCTGATATGCTCAAATATTTATGATTCAAAAATAAGTTGTGAGAAATAAGAAAATAGTGATGAAAAAAAAAATATAAATAGCATTCAAGGATCTAAAAAGGACAAAGAAGAAGTCAAAGAAAATAGCATCCCCCAACCCCGGGATCTGATCTCTGTTCGCAAGAAGAGAATTAACTGAATAGCCGCCGTCCACAAGTGTGACTTCAATATGTTTTCCAATTATTACCTGGGTATCAAATGAAGTGTCTACAACTCCAAGGATCTAAGTAGGACAAAAATATAAATAGCATTCAGGGATCTATGAGATGGTCACACACAATTAGACAAGATTAGAAATGATCACATTCAACAAAAGGTATAAATAGCACATATATTCGCCAAAAGCATCCGAATAGAAGGAAAAAGACTTGTAGTACAAAATTCCTTATGTGAATAGTTGTAGTTGTAACTAGCCATCCTTCTTTAAGGCCCCAACAAATGCAACATCTGATTTCCTACATTCAAGGATCTAATGTACAAAGAGGAAATGAATAAGCTCCTTTTGGACAACTTTCAATAGGACATAGATCAGGACCCTTTTTGAATCAAAGAATGTCGTATGAAATGGTTTGGTCATATTATAAGTAGCCCTCCAAAAGCACCGGTTTATAGGTGTAAACCATGAAAAGGTATTAAAAGGGGATGACATAGACCTAAAATCACATGGAATGAAGTTCCTCTATATCTTAAAATCCATGCTAGCAAGAAATAGAACACAATAGAAGGAAAAATTCATTGTTGGTAAGTTTATGTTAGATTCAATGTTTCCTAAGAGTCTTTTAATCTATTAGAGATATGTATGTTAGTAGAAAATGTATAGAACTTCTAGTGTTCAAGAATTTTCAAATTGAGCAAAACAGATAGTAAGGATTCACACAGCCTACCCTAACTAACTTGGGATTGAGGCTTCGTTGTTGTAGTTGTTGTCTAGCTCAAGCCATGGCTACTAAGCTTCTTTGTTATCCACACTACATAAGAGGGAAATATGGATTCCTTTTGGCACTTACTTTACCACATCACCAAACAAAAGGACAAGTAGATTTAACAACAGAATCTTCAGAATTTCACCTCCATATTATAATCGTTAAATGCATAGCAAAAAATCTGTAAATATAGGGTAACACAGTTACCACTTTGACATTATTCATCACCATTTGAGAGAAACTACAAAATGAGCAACATTATCCAATCTATTACTCTTCATTCATACAATCTGAGTTGTGCAGACTAATAACTAGCTGTTTATCATACGCATTTCTAATTCCTAACGTCTCGTGTGCTTGCCTTTACAAAAAGTTGCCATCAACATTAGATTCTAGGGGCAGTTACAATTAGCTTGTACTATAAATATCCCCCCTTTCCCGCGATTGTACCCCCATTCTCATTCTACTACTCATACTATTAACATACAGAAATCACTGCACACCTTTCTCTCAATTACAAGCGTCGTTCAACAGCTTTCTTCAACCAAGGATTGCTCAATAAGAAATTCTTTACTTTATTTCACTACTTTTGTTTATGTAGTTCTATTGCTTTCTTATTCATTACTAGAAAAAAAAATCATACTGTTGGTTTAATTCAAATTGCTTGTAGCCTAATTCTATAAATTTAACTGACTAATCTAATAATCAGATTTTAGGTTAAACGTCTTAAATAAATGAAATGTTGATTAATTTAATTCTCACATTTTGGTGTTTCACATACCACATAGATGCTACCATGTTCAAGAGTAACCATCATAAATCAACATAATCTTAGCTTCTTCAATTTATTGACGGTGAATTCATATTACTCAATCTGGAGTTTTACACGGAAGCCAGTGACTAGTAATAGACATAATCTCACTTCATATCAACATAACATCAAGCTCCAAAAAATATTTTCTGGATTCTGAGGGACATGAACTTACTCTTTATCAGCAATGTGTATTGTCGACACCAAATCAACCTACACAATCAAAATTTCAAAATCACAATCAAACTTCAAAACCAAACTCAAACATAGCCAAATGTTCAATTCATTTGCAATATGACTCACATCGAAGTCCTAAATACACAGTCAATGCAAAAAAGTTTTTACACCATCAGGTCACCCAAAATAAATCTACAAGTAAGCCGCTTACCTTATAATGTAAAATGTGGGATTTGTAGACTTGAAATTAAGACACGTTAACTGCTACAACATGCAAAGGTGACCTAATTTTGTGAAAAAATCCTTATACTAATGGTGTATATAACTTAAACTAAATAAGATACGGATTTAAGTTATATGCACTGACTTACAGTGTAATGATTTTTACACTATCCGGTTACTTACCATTTCGTGTAGGTTATGAATGAATGCTTATTAAATTGAATTACCTACAATTGACTTTTAAGTGACCCGATTGTGTAAATTAGTTTTTAACCTCACAAAATATACACACTCGCGTACGCGCACACACACTCATACATACACACAGACTCGCGCGCGCGCGCGCACACACAATCTCTGAAAATTCCAGAAAGTTCAGTTCGAAACATTTTATTTTACCTGGAGAAAAGGTTGAAGAAGAGACCAAGGGAACTTCTTCTTATAAGTAACAACAGCGGTTTGCAACTCAGCGGTGCTAACTCTATCATCGGCGCTAGTACCTTGTTTAAACCTCATGAAATCAGCAATCGAATTATTCCCCAAAAATTGCTCTGCCGAGTCATTATTATCGACCAATAGCTGCTGCTTCGATAAGAAGACCTTGAGATTCGGAAAACGAGGAATTCGTCGGAAGGAATGAAACGAGGTGGAAGGTGAATCGGAGTTGAAATTTGAAGGAAATGGAGATGGAGATGTTGAAGAGAGTATAGAGAGAGAAGTTTGAACCATAGCTCTCTTCTAGAGAGAGAAAGAGAGGAAAACGAGGATATGGTGAAGAAGGGAGTGATGAAAAAATCGGTTGCTCTGGTTCGAGTTGTGGCTACGTTGCACGGGAAGTCGGAGCTTAATTTATTTTTTGTTACTTATCGATTTATTACTCGGTTATATATATATATATATATAAATAAGGAAATTTCGAAAACTAGGTGTATTTCTTTTTCTCACACTTCTTTGCTTTGAAGCATCAAACATGGCATCCTTATCGATCTTTATGCATCTAAATTCAACAATTTAATACCAAAATTATGATGGGATGGATCTATCATTAACTAATAATCTCGAGATCGAGTCATGAAAATTAATACTATATAAATATATTTATTTTATAGATAATTTAAGATGTGTAAGTTTTTTTTAAAAATTAGTACTGACATATCTGTTATCCATAATATGAGAATCAACATATAAATATATTTATTTTAAAGATAATTTAAAGTTTGTAATTTTTCTTTAAAATAGTAGCGGTTATCCGTCCTTGAAACATAATATTTAAACAATTATAGAGATACATGTTTTACCTTAAAATACGTGATTATGATATGTATGCTTACTTTCTTTATCAAATGCGCTTGCGCGCAACTCGGTAACTCTATCCACCAAGGCTTGGATAGATGGAAGAAATCACCTAGTATTTGCCTCCGCTGGAATTTAAACATGAGACCTCATGGTTCTCACCCACTTCATTAACCACTGGGCCACATCTTGGGTGCTTCACAAGCTAAGACTTACTAAACTCATAGTATATTTTTTTTATTTGAGATGTTATTTTATTGGCAATTCTTAAAAGTAAATACTAAACTTGTCATTGTGTATCACTAGCAGTAGCAGACAAGATGGAACCCTGATAATACATATATAGTCGCTGAACAATATAAGGATGATTAGTTAGTACAGTACAATAATTTTTGTCCAACCTGCAACAGCCAGCAACCTATAACAAAAGTACAAAAAGAATTTCCCAAGTACAATGAAGAATTTAAATGGATATTTAACAAATTTAATGAACTAACTAATACAAGGTTGCAATATGCGAAAAGAGAGAAATTCATGAGGAAGTAATCCGCGGACAACAGACCTGCAGGCCTGAGCTAATCTACCTCTAGCTAGTATCCATTACAAGGTCGACGCCACCAATATATGGCAATCTCTATAACTTTCTCACAAAGTCACGTATAACTTGATTAACTTCTATGGCAACTCATTGGTTCTGCGCTCCATTTGGCTTGGAAAGAAGTCAGAACTAAGCTGCAACTCCTGTTTGCGACAGCAACTGAAGACCAGTTTTTAAATCCTCTAAAGTAATCGTTGATAGTTCGTCTGAGTCTATGCAGTCAAAACTGAGTCTGAGATCCAAATTCTCTCTTGCATTAACTAGCATTGGATCCACTAGACCTCCATTCATCTCCTTGCGCTGCTTTTCAGTGGTTTCGTCCTTGATAAGTGATGAAACAGTGTCAACAGTACATGAAGGATGCAACTTAAACCCATATAGCAAGCTACTATCAGCTTGATTGGTCATCTTAAGATGAAGAATCTTGGCAAGGTCTTCAGAGCTAAAGTTGTCAAATTGGAAAAACTTTGTGACTCTTCTACAGAAACCTTCGTTAGAAGTGATCACACGCTTCATTGGTTCACTGTAACCTGCAAAAATTACTACAATTTTTCCGCTATCCATGACTGACATTATCTCCTCTAGTGCTTCCAAACCATAGTCCTTATCATCTGATTTCTGCATAGGTATTAATCGATAGGCTTCATCAACGAAAAGAATCCCCCCTTCAGCTTCTTGGATCTGCAGATTTTCCCTAGACTTGGTCACCTCGAAGCCAAATATTTATGGGAATATGGAAAAACTTCAGTCACAAAAAGCTTACCTTTCTCCTTGTCTTCGGTCCTGTATGACCAACAAATTCACCAACCAGATCTGTTCTCTGCACCTCGGTCACGTTGTCAGTGGGAAGAATCCCCACCATATGAAGTAATTTTCCAAGAATGCGAGCAACCATAGTTTTTCCTGTAATAGTATACCCTCACGAAAATATAAGAAATCAACCTAGAAGAAATATATATCAAACACATAAGTTGGCTAGGCAAATATCAATGGGCAAAGAGAAACTGAAACACATCCTGCATTCAACAGCATCACTGACATAACCACGAGCTACAAGGTATGCGCTTTCTTTCGATGAGTTTTTTTCACCTCATTTATTTACTTCCTCTTAACAGTTTGACACCATCTCCTTTAAGTAGAATGGGTAAAACATTGTGCTGTGCGTCAGGGGCGGAGCTAGAGAGCAAGTTACGGGTTCGGCCGAACCCAGTAGCTTTGGTTCAAACTCTGTATTTGTTTGATGAAATTCATTAAACATGTACAAATTATTAATTTAGAACCCACTAACTTAAAAATGATTAGAATCCCGAACCCATAAGTTTTAAATCCTGGCTCCGCCTCTGCTGTGCGTATTGGAATATACTTTTCTTTGTAAATTATATAGACTTGATTACCTGTTCCAGGGTTTCCGAGGAAAGCCATATGGGGCGGTCTTCTTGCACCAACTTTAAGCCCTAGGGCCTTACGCCTCTCATCCAAGAGCATCCCCTTTGCCCATTTGCGGAGCTGCAGTTTAAGTTCGTCTAATCCCACTATTGTAGATAATTCATTTTCAAGTTCATCCATTTTAGCTTTGGTCTGGCTGCATGCTTCAATGGCTTTACGTTTTCTTTGTTCTTCAAGATACCGGTGGAGAAGTTCACGCAATTTTTCATTTCCAGGGCCTTGAGAGAGATGATTTATAGGAGTCATGCCCTCCTGCACTTCACATATTCTACAATTAGCAATGACCAGAAAAGTAACATGATCCTTTTTGAATAAATGGAATCTATAGTACATTGTCTTCAGCACTACAATTCGCGTCATACTCCAACAATGTCTTTACTGTTGAATAGTCTTCGGCTCGTAGTGAATGCCAAACAGCAAGGTGCAACGGAGTCATCCCATTCTGCAAAAAGCCACATGAAAATGAAAATCAAAACAGATTGAGAAACACATGCCCCAAGTCCAATCACAATTGAAGCAGTAAATATACACACATTGGCTTTGGCTTCAACATGAGCACCATGAGCAAGAAGCACTTTTGTGGCTTCATTACAACCATTCTTGGCTGCCATGTGCAATGGAGTCTCTCCATACTGCAATGCACAAAATATTAACACCAGAAGGCAGAAAAGAAGAAAGCAAGAAGTTACAAGAGACAAAGTCCAGTCAGCTCCAAAAGAAAATGCGACCGTATGTAATTGATAGATTCCTTCACGTACCATGTTCTTGGCTTCCAACTCCACCTTTTCTGGGCCTGGCCAACCAAGTAAAAACTTGAGTATTTCCACATTATTGTAACCAGCAGCAACATGAAGAGGCGTCTGCACCATCTGCATCCAGATAAGTAGCAAACAATATAAGGAGAATACTTTTCACAAGCAACCGACTAATCTAACTTCTGCAAGACTATGACCAGGTAAACATGATCAGTAGCCAACTGTCTTTGAAACTTTTATAAGACCATCAGTATCCTGTTTGATTCCCTCTCTCTAGGAAATTCCTAAGGGAACTTAAAATAAAGAAAGATCAAAGACATCGTAACCCAAGGTACTACTTATATTAGCCTCAAATTTAACTCCATATCTAGGTAAATCATTAAAATCATGAAACAACAAAAGTGCAGGAAATAACTCCAAATAAAAAGCTATATATCAGCATTTGACCATGATATCCTGTACCTGCAGTCACAAACAACACTAGCATAGTACAATTAACTCTATTGAACAGGAAAACAAATAACCATTTAGCTAACCTTCATCCCACCCATTTACCAAAGCAACTGCATTATTATGTGTCAGCAAGCACATTTTGATTTTCTCTTTCAACAGAATATAAAAGGAAAGAAATCTTTTTTCTAAATCCAATAACCAATACTCTATATGTATAACACGGGTAAGCTGATTTTGTCTATAGTTGTGCATAAGCCCTCTCCTCTACCCTTCTCTACTTAAATACCATAAGTAGACATAATCAGGTCTGAGGCCATCATAAGCCATTATCAAACTTAGCAACTTGAACACATATTTTTTCTTTTTGATGACCGAGAAATTCGTCCGAGGCCAAACATTAGGATCAATCGCAGCCTTCAAAACTCGAGGATAACAAGCCCTCTCCTCTACCCTTTTCTACTTAAATACCAAGCTTAGTCTACATGGCGCACGGCTCGAACCTGTGACCTAAGTCATAAGTCCGTCAATCTTTGCCACTTGAATTAAGCCCTAGGGACTAGTGAAAAGATATGCCTAACCAGAACAACATTTGAATGATACAGATATCCTTACGCATCCAGAGGTGGAGCCACCATTGTAGCTACGGGTTCTGCAGAACTCAACAGCTTTGGCTTAAATCATGTATTTATGTTTAAAAAATTCATTTAATATGTATAAATAATATATTCAAAACCCAGTAAGCAAAAGGATTGTGATCCAGAACCCATAAACTAAAACTCCTGCATCTTCCTCTTTAACTAATAACCAATAAAAGTGGAAGATGCATAAGGATATTGTTATATTCATATGTTTTTCAGCTAATGTTAATATATATAACCTCTTTATATTCATTGTTGGCATTCTTAATCTTGCCCCAAGTTTCTGGGGGTTGTAGCTCCCAATTGCGTACATAAAGCATTATCATATAACTAAGGGGTTCCTTAATACACATTTCTTTGTGCAAACTTGGCTTCTTGCAGGAATACAAAAACTACAAATATTAGAGATATATAAAGCCAGAGAGAGAAAGAGAGATCGTACAACAGGGTTACGTTCATTAAGAAGAGAAGGGTTGTCATTGAGCAACTTTTGAAAGGCAAAAACGTCTCCAGATTGTGCTAAGCTATGAATAGTTATGGGTCTTGAGGATCTTGACCGTCGATCCCTCGGCTTCTGCATCTTTTTATTTATTTATTATTTCCTGTCGTAATTTTCCTCTCTCGGGCAAAAGAAAAACAAAGGAAGCAAAAAACGAGAGGAATTTTATGGCGTCGGTGGAATGAAAAGGGAATTTTAGCCTCTCGGTCTCAGGGGAATTTCGTCAAACAAGTCGTGTGTGAGTCATGCTGCGCGGAAAATGAAATGATAATGTAATGGAGTGGAAGTGTCCGCATTTCGTACACGGACTCGGCGCGTAACGTAACAGTGGCCGGTAGATTTTTTTATCCTAATTTGATGGCTTTCCAGCTGCAGACCAATAACACTACACCTTCCTATTTTATGACCTTTTTCTATTTCATTATAGAATTCTTTTTTCCTTTTTTGGCAGTCCGACTAATCCAAATTCACCCAATAAAATTCACTTTAGAGGATAAATCTCTCTCTATAAAAAATGACTCAGCTAATTATAATTGTTTCAAAATATTTATTTGTTTAAAATATAAAAAAAATATTAAAATAGTATCACTAACGGTGTAATTAGATGTTGTAGAAAAAAATATAAAAATTGAGAGGTCAAAGAACAATGACAATTTAGTCAAGTAACGCTTATTATTAGTTAATATTTCTTAAAGAATATGCCAAAGAATAAAATGACAAGTACATAGAATTGGAGGAAGTATATTTTAATTTTTCATACCAACTAAGTAAAAAAGAATGACCAATTTTGAAGTATATAAGTTAAAAACTCATCTAATATATCATTTGGATTGTATATCACTTCTTTAATTTATAAAAAGTAAAATTTATACCTCAAAATTGCATAGAAGTACTATAATCCACACTTTATCAATAATTAATATTTAAAAAATTGTCTACTTCCTTTTATTGTGGCTTGGGTTGAGCTGTTGCTTCTCCAAAAGCTTTTGGGAAAATGACATTATATAACCGTTGTCAAAATAATAGCCAAAAAATATTTTTTTTTTTTTACATATATCTACATTATGTATATTATATGTAAAAATTATATAAATTTTATACAATTTTTTTGGCTACCGAATATAAATAATTTCTGGTACTGACTAAAAGTGAAAAAAGCCCAAAGCTTTTCAACGACAAACCATTAGGTCCATCACAAACTTCCCTGGGCTTCGATTAAAAAGCTAACTTCTCAAGGCCCAATGGAAATGGAATTCCCTCAGCTCCATCTAATGTGGTAAGGATTAGAGGCGGAATTAAAAATTAAATTTAATAGGTCAGATATTTAAATATTTTAAAATTATACATTTATAATTTTAAGATTATGAATTCAAATACGATATTTACTAAAATTTTAATAATTTTCATATATATATTTATATTTTAATTAAAAATACAAGTTCAAATGAAACTAGTACCCACGGGCTACCGGTCGCATCCGCCCCTAGTATGGTCAAAGGTACAATGCTCAAAATAATTAATTTTTGGTGCGAATGCGAATATAGACTAAACAAATTAAGATAAAATTTATATTTTCAATAATTTAAAAATAATTGTTTTGTCTCCTCAAACAGTAATAGTGTCACGGAAAAATAAAACATAGAGTATATCTTTTAGGAATTAACGTTTGAGACGAACAATTTTAGTGTTTACAACAATTAATTTTGCATATTAAGCCGATATGGTAACCTATCTTCTTCTCTTTTACGCTATTAAGTTAAGTTGACTTACAATAATAGATAATTCTAAGTAATTAACTTATGAAATCTTGTTTTTAAGGTAGATTAAGTGGTTAATTAAGGAAAGATTAATAGGTCAATAGGTATCATGTAGGAAGGGAAAAAGTATTGCACTTAGATTCTTTCTTATCAAAGTTCCTGTAATCACGCTATCATTCACATGGTTTTCCCTCTGCACAATAAATAATGACAAGATTTTGACCAAACTATGATTGCTCAACTTTAATAATCCTACTATTTCTTTACAATGATATAAATAGATTAATCTTCTATGGCCAATTTCGTAGCTATAGGTTACTAGAAAAAAAACAAAATGGTTAGATGAGGAGGAAAAGGAAAAAATAAATATGAAAAAGAATTAATATTCAGGGAACGTTATCCCAAAATTATAGTTGCACATCTTATATGGGATAGATAATATAAGATTTTTGAATAAAATGTATATCAGTATTAGTTAGTAATTAATAACTAAATAGAAAATTATTATTTTAATCCCGATAACGTGATGATTCCTGAGAAAATATTCTCGAGTTGAAAACATATTCTCTTAGCTTTGTCTTTGTACGTGAATTTTACGCTTTGAGTAGACTACATAGCCTATTATTCGGGCCTCTTATACTATTACATATATAAGGAATGGAAAACTCAAACTAAATCACACTTAATTTATAATTAGGAATTAACTTCCATTCTCTAATTATTAGGTGCACTCACCAAGACAAATATAAATATATGTAAAGAATGGAGGTCAAACGTAAGGTGAGGTGCAAAACGGAGTCATCCGACAAGAAAGACCAAAGTTTTTCATTTGTCTTGTAGTATTTCAGCTCAAAAATGATTTGTTCATTTATTTTTTTGTTTAATTTTACTTAAATTACCTAATGAAAGTTACGATTTTTGATAAGTAATTTTTATTGACAAAATTATATGAGATATCACTTGGGTCTACAGTTCATCCAAAAATGACCCATATTTGAAGCACTAATCTAGTTTGACCCACGTTGTACATATTTTGAAATTTTCTTTGCACCCATTAGTCTATATTAAATTAGTAACGGTAATTTTTTTTTTTTTGGCTTTCACTCTCTCTTCTTCTCACATCTTCTACATATGCTTCAAGGGGCCGTCCGTCATTACTGCTTCTCTCCCTGTGTCACCTAGTTGCAATGTAAGACAATTGAAGAGTAGAAGTCCAGCATTGAAGGCCATTCAAAGCTTTGGTTTCAAAAATAGGATTTTTTGAGTTTGTTAGTTGGTTTGAAAATATCAAAAAGAGTTCAAAATTTAAATTTGAAGTGATTTGGAGTAGATTTGAGCAAGATTTGAGTGAAATTTCATAAAAGACGCAAGGAAGAAGACGAAGTCAGTTTTTTGTATAATTATGTATAATCTTGTATATAGTGTATATGAGTGTATAAACACATCTTATACACTATTATATACTTTTATATACCTTTATACAAGTGTTTGTAGACGAATTTCTTTCACGATTTTCAGTTATAATTCCTGTTCAAAACCAGTCCAAATCTCCATTAAATGACTTCAAATTTCATATACAACCTCATTATACTATTTCTAACAAGTCTAAATAATACCCACTCCAAAATTCTCACAAAATCAAATTCTAAATTTAAACCCACATATTTAAGCTTGTTAAAAATCTAATTTTCACCACCCAAATGGATTTGGTTTGTTGAACTAATATTGAGTCACAGTTACTGATTCAAAAGTTAAATTAAAAACTTGAGTAATCTTTTTTAAAAATTAAATAGTAATTTCGAGAACCCGTTGGAGATGGATGTTGAATCTTAGCCTATTATTTTTGGGTTAGTTGGTTGTAAATTGAAATATGAGCTATAAAATTGAAAAGTACGGAGCCCAATTATTTTTATGTGAAATTTTTCCCTTTTTATTCTGTAGCAGATCACTAATTTGTTAAGAGTCTCTTTATACCACCAGGATATGATAGGATGGATATGATGTCTTTATCCTTAATTAAATGTATTGCGTTTGAGTTCTTAAAATGGAAAAAAAATTCGTAGGGAGCGTTTCCTTCTTTAATAAACCTTACGCTATATGTATTTGGTTAGTTCGGGCGCCAATACCTATATTAGACACGATTAGCCTTCCCAAAAAAAAGAAAGAGAGAGAGAGCCACTTTATAATTCGAACAGGTGTAATATATTCTTTATTTTACATGATTGGTAAGTAATTTCATTGCGTAAAAGATTTTTAAAGGTGGATAAAATGAATTGTTTTTTTCTTCTTTATTCTTGCCAAAATACCCGTAAAGACTTGTCGAGAGTTTGTCATTTTCTATCAATGTTGCCTTTTGGCAAGCGAATTTCATGGCACGTATTATGATTAACAACTAACACCAATTTTCCATGTGACTTCAGCCTACAGCCCTACCTTATCGACCTTATTAGTATTATATATATATATATA